TGTTACCTCTATTCAGGGCTTCCCTTCTTTTAATTTGAAGATATCCACATTCCAAGCACCCCCTGACTGGTAATCTCTATGCTCTATCCGGCGCCTTTGAAAGGAATCTGAACAAAGTGAGCACTATTTGTCAGAGCGCTTTGGTGCTTACAAGTGAGTGTACTGAGAACATTCCTCGTAAAGTCGTTAATGAGGCTTGAATATGTGGAGGTTGTCTCTCAACATGCTCTGAGCCCGAATCAGCTCTACACCCGTTTGCATGTTTCCCATAGTTCCTTTCGGAATGACCATTTACCATAGTCATCGGTGATGTGGACTGGGTGCAGTGTGCTAACAAATCCGCAGTAGTTTGCTTAAACGATTCGGGAGTTCTGACAGCAAAAGCCAAACTCCTCTGAATTCTAACTTCCTGAGTCGTTGGCGGAATACGAGAGGGGCTTTGCGCTGGGAACCGGCACCAACTAATACCAGTGTCAGTGGGAAGAATCGTCGACAGCTTGATGGCAACGCCTTCAACTTGAAAGCAAAGTAAGACAAAATCTATTTTTTCTGAGGTCGTTCGAGTCCACCTTGCTAAGAAAATTCATAAAAAATTGGAGACTCTCGGGCGGTCAGTTCTTTTAGCTCCGCCTTGTAGCACTAACCTTGTGCCAACGAACGACTATCCGCTCTCCTCTCTCAATCACCTTCTGGAGAAGAAATCTCACTTGAATCACCATAAAGTCAAAATCGACATCCAATTTTCTTCGATCAGAACTCTATGAAATTCTACAAGAGAGACACTGAATACCCACCCTCGCATTGGTGATATGTTGGTAATAATGGTGATGTATACTATGCTGAATAAATACATCAGAGAAATAAGATAAGTAATTAAATCGAAAAACACCAAAGGTTCTCAAAAATTATGGACCGACCTAATAATACTATGATTGCAGACTGATGGATGATTTTCCAATGAGAACAAGTTCAACCATCCCCGCACATCTCGTCGCGAATTGGATTTCGATAAAATCTCATTGATGACAACGCTTCCACTTGCTGCTACTGGGAACCGAGGCGGAGTTACAGAGTTGAGAAAATAGGTAAACGCAAATTGTAAAACAGGACAACCTCCAAAATCGGCCTTGCATCGGGAAGCCTTGTTGGCGACCTTCAAAATCGCCCGTACCCATGTTCAACTAATTCTGTGTTATCTATCAGCTCTAACTGTTAGGCTAACCTCTCCTACTAGGTGTCATATGAGCTTCCAAAAAACGAACAAACGCGCACATAAATCCATTCCATCAAAAAACCCTTTGATGCACAATGGTTCTCATCCATTAGTTTTCACTGCCAAACATAAATTACGCCAGTGAACTTACTACATTTTCATGCATAAATAACACTTCACCAGTCATCCCAGTCATCCCTCTCTACTGTAAAGTCCTGAAGAACGATTTCATATTGCAATTGAATGGGTGCGCATAAGCACGTGCATCAGAAAGAATGAGTCACCTATAATATTTCAGACAAGGACACATCGCATCTGATCCTCAGGGCCGAGAATCCATGGTGCCGCACTTTTGTTGCACGTTTCTATTATTTTTTTTCTTCAATCCCCCCCCCCCCCCCCCCCCCCCACCTCACCACACCAACTTCGCAGTGGATTCAAAGATTATTGACAACACCCTTGCGATTCACGTGCAAAAAAACCATCGACCTATAGATTAGTATTAGCTGCAACACTGATGCTTTAGAAATTTTGAAAACTCCCTTAAGAAATTATTTACTTCCGAAACTTCTCGGAAGGACTATTACCGCTCCAAATTAGAATTCGATGCCAATGCTGGGTAATGGACCCCTTCTCAAAAAGAAAAACACGACCACCATTGAAATTCATGAACAATATTCATCTCGTTACCATGCATGACCTCCGGTACGAATACCTTTCTAAGCAATTTCACTAAAAGATGAGCATGATGGTTCGGTATGACAGTTTGCTTGCGTATGCAATATGCTCGTTAAACTTAGGTACAATATTTTGTAGCATGGATACAATATTTTATCACTATCACTCTTACTCTACTCTTAACCTCGTACGAGTTGTTGGCAAGAATCCCATGAACTTACTCATACTCCTAAGAACGAACTTTTTTCAAGAATTCCGCTTGAATACACCACTTCCGCAATCGTTCGAGCACTTTTTTCATTTTCATCACATATTTGAATCTTTACTTGCTTGCAGTGACCATTCGTTATTGCCAGGCAAAGTATGTCTATAGACAACTCTTCCTCAAGTGACTCGTGCGTTCCTGCCAAACAAGACCACTTTGGTCATCATCTACATAATACAAGGGATCTACGGCGGTATATCGGTCCTACTGTATATAACACGATGAGAACCGTCCAGAGAAGAGTGAAAGCGCGCGCGAGTACGCACTAAAGAGAGCACAGATAAACGGCGCTGCATAGTCAGTGATTCAACCACCTTCGGGCACTAATCTGAGTCACTGATAAGATCCTGGTGCTCAGGAAGACCCTGATGCCCATGTCGGGTTCTTTCCAACCGTGCCAATGAGAGCGCCATCGTGACATTCGTAAACACTTGTTCTACCTAATGGGGGGGGGGACTACTCCGGTAGCCATATTCCTTAGCTCGTTTTTAGATTATTTCAAAATTTCCGCCATCCACTTTAGTAGAGCTGTAGTCTTATTTGAGTACTTTGATGTCATTCCGGAGCCCATCTGCCGCAATTTATGCACAATAATACATACATATTTGTCCAAAACTTGAATTAAGAAAGCGCGAAGTGGTGTGAAGTCAATGTGAAGCCGCTTACGCGACGGTCCACGGAGCAAACCCTAGATCGTGCACCTTCTAGGCCAGCCGAGCATTTCAACGCTGCGGGTGGGTTGACTGGAACCAGACTTCTCTAAGACAGGTATACCTAGGAGTATAAGAACACTGATTTGTACATCAGCTGACCTCAGAAAGTCACTGTAAATGCCAAATCGCATCCAAAAGGCCGCAACGATTCTGAGCGGAAGTAAAACGCGTGGCGCATCCGAGGATTAATCTACACCGAATGTCTTAGGATTTCATAACTTTTATCAATTTTTTTATAAAACTTAATTTGCTCGAGCAAAAACGACTACTGATGCTGCGCAAGTGTGGAATGTTTTGTAATTATCTGACCATAGTGACAGATTCTATCTCCCACCCCAGCGGAAAAATAAACCGTATGTGCTGTAACGCGGAGAAAACGAGAGGCGTTGCTCCTCCCTTTTCCGCTTAGGGCGAGACAGCGCTACGTCAGCAAAACATCAAAAACTGGTGAAATAACCTGACAACGCAAACTTGCTGGAATAGATTTTCACAATTACTATTTTAATAAGACTATTCAGAAATTGAATACTAATTATTGATGCTTCAGAGCGTAATCTATTTCCTGACTCACTACTGCATCCAACGCTTTGTTGGTTTGGGATTCTGGTGTGGTGAACTACTAGAGCTATTTGGAAAACCAACTTGGATTCTGAATCCCTATAAATCTATAGCTACGTATTGTCCCATGGCAATACTTGTTCTACATTTTGTGATTTCGTTTAATCGCCTTACTTTAGTGCTGGCACCGTTTTCAGCTGCAGACGTAAGTGATTTGTGATCCGATATGGTTTATAAACTCGCATGAATCTCTATTTTCAACGGAATGGTTGAAAAAAATCGACACAAGTCCTCCTTTCAGAAACAACACTTATTTCTGAATGTCTCCTCAGAGCATCTCTATGCATTCACCTTACAAAGGTGCACATTAAATGGGGCAAAGTTAGCCAAGAAAAAAATCAGTGTGGGAAGAAAAAAAATTTTCTTCGAAAAATTTAAAAAAAAACTTCATAATATTCTTGAAGTGACATCCACCGATCAAGAGTTGCTGCTTTTTTTTCAATTTCACCTTACAAAGGTGCACATTAAATGGGGCAAAGTTAGCCAAGAAAAAAATCAGTGTGGGAAGAAAAAAAATTTTCTTCGAGAAATTTGAAAAAAACTTCATAATATTCTTGAAGTGACATCCACCGATCAAGCGTTACTGCTTTCAATTTCACTAGCAATGTAACACTGAAATTTTTATTAACACTTTGACGACAGCGCGGGACACATACGTCCCGCACTTTCACACGGAAGAGACTTGTTTTTCCTAAATTGTGCCTCCATTTTCATGCTTCAAGACTGGCCCTTCCTACTGTTGGATACGAAAAATAGTTCTCTCGTTACCACTAATGAAATTATTGGTAATGTAGTAACTGTTAATGCAAATTTGTAAAGTAAGGTGGGTAGGTTCGCGCACAAGGGCGTGTCGTCAACGTGTTAATCAATAACCCTTTTACCTTCTTTTTCACCAATAGCCACTTTATTTTCTGAAAAAAAAAGCTGGGCGACTAAAGAAAACCAAAAAAACAATTTAGTATACAAAGTGATTAAAAATACGACAAAAAAGTCGATATCAAACAAATAAACAGACATGATAAATTCCCTGAACTAGCTCTTTTTCAGTTCTGGGCCCAACACTTCGTGAAAATTCTAGTACTTTCGCTCATAGTGACGTTGACATTTGTATGGTTTGTACTACCATGTCGAAGTACGTACAAGTTGACAAGTCCTAACGGAGGGCTAGATATTGAATACGAGAAAGTATTCACAGTAAGACGATTAGTGATACATAAGTCAAAGCTTCAAAACAGGGGATAGTAAACATTTAAGCTGAGTGCATCGATGCATTCTACGGTAGCGGCTACAATATTCGGATTGCTCACTTTTCTCGCGACTCTCATTATCGTTATTAAGCTCCTGTATTCGAATCTTCAACCTCTGTCACCAGCAGAGAAAACAATGTTCGCCTTTGAAGGACTATTAGCTCTAACCACTCTGATGTACGCCATAACTCAGGTAATCTATCCTCTCACATCTCTTGATGTATTTTGTAGATCGCCGGTTTTCAGAAGAGATATTCGAAGAACTTAAAAGGGACTCTGAAAACTGCCAAATGGAACCTTGCGATGTTCTCAGGCTGAGCCGTGAATCATACACCACCAACCGACATTTCGAGAATCACCTACTACTTCTAGGAGATGGGTGGCAGCCAAATGACAGTTACCATTTGTACAGAACGTGTCATTCCAAACCACTCAATCTCAAGAAGATAGGCTAATTTTTAGACAGCCGTCACACTCGGCGACGGACAAGCGATGGAGCGACGCGATCGCTCCATCGCTTGTCCGTCGTGGAAACATTCCTGTCGGCAGCATTTGTGACAGATGTGCGGCACTACTTTGAACGCGTAGCAGTCCTTTCTTTTTGGCCCCGCCCGCAGCCGACTGCATCTACTGTGGGCGGGGCCAATCGCCCGTCGCTTGTGCACTTTGCAAGCGATTGCGCAATCGCGTGCCAATCGCTCTCGGAGAGCGATTGCAACGCGACGGACAAGCGATGGAGCGATCGCGATCGCTCCATCGCTTGTCCGTCGCTGAGTGTGACGGCCGTCTTAAAATTTTAGTGGCACTACATGACACATACACAGAACTTTTGGGAAAAAAGGAGCGCAATGCCAAAAAAGGATGATAGCTTGAAAACACGCATGCGCGTCAGAGTATCCCTTGTAGCCTGCAGCGCCTGACGCATAAAGTGACAAGCTCTCGTCGCGTACCGCAACTTATTGCTAGAGAGTGTAAGGAAACAAAAGTAACTGGACTTAGAGCTTCAGCGCCCTTTTCCAACAGCAGTAACACTTCTTCACTTCAGGCACTTCTGTACTCTTCCAAATATCTCTTCAAGGATGAAGCCATGCAACAAGCAGTGCTGTTCTTCAGAAATTTCATCATTGACATATTTATTTTACCTAATGCATGGACACTCCCACTTCTAAGTCAATCAGTTAGACGGTTTTATGCAAATACGGTGACGTGGATGTCACGAAGCGAGAACAAGGCTCAACGAACGACACATTGTTCGCATAGATTGTCTTCCTTATGAAATAAATGTATAAAAAGACATTTACCGTGAAAAGTCCGTTTCTAGGATGAGCCATGTCTTCTAATTTCATTCAGAATCGTAATGGCATTTGAATACAAGTTATGAAATGATTTGCGGAAGCCGATGTACAAAGTGGTGGTTTATTCTCCCGGACAAGTCTGGCCCAAATTCAACAACCAATCACCCCGGGAAGGCTTGGTTGTCCTGAGTGGCATTCAACGCTGTGTTCGACCTCGGAACGGTGCGCATGGGAAGCGGCGCTGCAGCCATTACTCACTTCCACCCACCAATGTTGCTGCAGAATCAAATTCTACAAATTCCAACCAAAGCATCGAAGTATGTTAAAGTTTAACGTCCCCTCTGTCCTCAACAAGATTAATATTGCAGAAAGGATTGAAAATTTCTGTCCGACCTTCTACTAATACCTTGCAAGCAGTGACAAAGTGTTATGATGTGACCGATAATGTTCTTGAGGAAAAAAGAAAATATTTGCGATCAGGATGAGCTCAAAAACTTCGACTATCACAAAAACCGCCTCAAACTGCTACCACACACGGAGACCTGCTAATTTTTCAAAGCAAACCCAACAGTAGTTTGCTGGGTGCTTCACACTCTCGATTTCTATCGTAGATGTGAATGAGCATCCGAGCGAAGAATAATAATTGGTAAAACGAGAACAATCAGATACTTACCCTTGGCTCGTCAGCTACTTTGATCACATGGCCTTCAGAACGTCCTCTAACATCCCATACACGTACAGTTCCATCAGCTGAAGCACTTAGTAGCTGATCACGTGAAGCTGATGCCAGTTCGCAAACAGTGGATGAGTGTCCGGAGAACGAGCGTAAGGGCTAAAACTTCAACGAACGCGGTTATATTCACAGCGGTAGACAGAAGGCAGAAAATGACAGAAGAGCGATTGGTTGACAAATCAATCAACGACTTCTAATTACTACCTTATTAGGGACATTGATATCGAACTCTCTGACAGCATTATCCGCCGCTCCACCGACATACAGACGTTCCGTTTCACAGCGGTACATCAGACCATTCACTTCATGCGGACCAGGGACCGAACACTGTGCACCTGTAAAAAAAAGATCAAACCAGTAGATGGACCCAATAGTTTGTTAATTACAGAAAAAATGAGAACTGAATAAAGCTGAGAGACATGTTACCATTGAATACTCCAAAAGAAAAGAGAGTTTTGGGCGGAACATCTGTCCGCTTTGTCAACTCAGACCAGTCATAAGCAAAAATTCGACCTTTCGAGTCACCGCATACCTGAACACCATCCATCAGAGTACAAGAAAACTTTCTCCACAGCGATGTTCAACTACTCAGCACAGCTTTTGAATATCCAGAGATTTGCTGTACTCCTAATACAGGACGTTAGGCATTTCGTTGTGTAAATTCTTAAAATTAACAATTCTATTGTATTTTTCCACTACAACGGCACTAACACCGATGTACTCACAAAACAGTGAATGACCTTTCGAATCGGCGACATTTAATTCATATGGCCTAGAACTCAATCGACTATGAATCGAGAAAGTCGACAATATCATCTTTGAGAATATTCGAAAGGCACGCATAAAAGAGGACGGTGGAGAAGGCAAAAATCTGTGAGCTGATTGAGAAAACGCCCAAGAAACCGGAAAAAACGGGTATTGGGCAGCTAGCTCGATATGGGAAGGAACGAAATCGAAGCAGACGAGTGATGTTTGAGGTGTACCAACAAATCTGGAATCAGCGGAAAACTGCCAACTATTAAAGGAATCTTGCGCGGAAAAATCATGATTCTATTTCAGCCATAAATCACTGGCTTGAGACTCATTATCCACGATAATAGTGAAAAGAACTGAAGTATTGCTTTCGTTTTGATTAGAAATTCGAAAACTCGAAAAGGCTGCTACGCGTTCGAATTGCCCACGGACGTCTTTCACGAATGCTGGCGACGGGGATGCTCAAACTTGGTTCTTGGAGTGCATTCACTAGAAGCTCTTTCTGGCCTTCTGCTTCGTTGCATTCACATCTTACACTTCTACTCCATCCTATTCCATCGATCGATTTGTCTAATCTCTCCTATACTTTGCCTTCGCGGTTCGGAAATCGCCGGTCCTGCTTCCACCTCTCTCGTTCTCTCTTATGTCTCTCAGTTTGCTGGTCTCTTGTCTCTTTTTGTACGCCAGTATGGCGCCGTCCGGCAGAGACGTGCTCCTTTGTTCCCGCTCCTGTATCCCCCGCGCCTGTTTTTCGCTTTTGTTCCGATGTCTCCTCGTCCACCTACAGCTTCTGGTTCCGTCTTCTCAGGGTGCTCGTTCTTCTGTGGCCCTTCCTTGTGCTATTCGGGATGAAGTGTACCTTTTTGTGTTAGTCTTTGCTACTCCTTGCTTGTTCCCAGCAGATATACTCGTCGTTGCGCTTGAACTTTCCGGTATCTCATGCTGTGAGTATACTGTTGCCTGTCTATTCTTGTTCAGTCGATGCACTTCCAGGGTCCGTGAGCGAGTGGAGTGCTGCTTGTTAGGAAGAGTGGCCCAGTCGGGAGGTTGTCTTCCGCTTGTGTTCGCTGCGAGTATCTCCTTGTGCTTAAAGGAGTGTTCCAGAGTGCCGAGGGCTTGCAGTAGTTTATCTCATTAGTTTCAGAGTCGCTTTTTCCCTAAGCACGTAGTAAGGTGGAACTAACATCTGGCATTGACTAGAAGCGACAGTTAATGCGATTGTACGTGTCCAAGCCTTTCAGCCTAGTGGTTGGCGTCGAGGTGCATTCCTTGACCAAAGCTAGACCCCGAAGTGCTCTACTGAATCCGCGATGAGCATCGAAGTGCCCTTCGCTAATCGCACCAGTGGTCAGAAATTGGAAAAAAAAGACACAGCGAAAGTAAAAAAAAACAGATAGAATAACCGCCTGTCGGGTGAATTCTTATCGAATACTCCCTAATTGAAAAGACGGGCCCGATTGTTTTTTTTCAAATAACTACTCAACTTCGTACGTGTAGAATGTGCTGTTGATTTCGGGGTGGCCTTGATCCTGTCAGAGCTTTATGAAGTTTGATTACTTCAACGTTAAAGTCTAGGAAGGAAATGTTTCCTTTTGACCATCACTGTATTTAAAAGCCACCAAATAACTCGAAGCACTGGAACGATTTCTAAGCAAAACTCGATTACATCGCTCACTGGGATAGCATCTAGCCAATCTATAAACATAAAGCAAAAACGAAAGCTGATCCGAAAAGTGAACCTTTAACTGACCAGCAACTGATCGACAGTTTTCATTGCAAATACGGCATCCCGAACTTGGATGAAGTGCGAAAGACACCGACTTTCATCGGAAGCGTTTGAAGACAAACAATCAGACAGCTTGAATAAACAGATTCGAGACAAATTATCACTTGCAGCGAGCCAGCTTTCTGAAAAAAAAAACGGGAACCTTTACAAAGACAAACAATATTTAGTATCGTCTGAGACCTCAGCAAAGTAGAACATACTAATGGAATGCTTCAAAGGCATGAACCTACCATCTGGTGAGGCAGCTAACCGATATATCTTCATATAGTGGCGCAATCTAGCACTACTCGGGCGCACGTTTCTTGGTGCAGAGACCATTGCCTACTAAAATCTGCTCAAGACAGAAGTGCCCTATCCAACAGATTTACTGGAAACGGAAAGTACAAATACTAAATTTGGCTAACCACTTGCGTCTATCGGAACTGTGGCACTACAACGTGAAAAATTTATTTGAAATAAGATCATATCACAGTCGAAGAAATCAAACTGATGTCCTGTTATCGTAAGCAGAATAACAGGAAGGGAAAATATGTACATTTGAGAATCGTTCAGAGAAAAGATCTACTCACTCTTCTCAGCCATTTCTTTAAAATTCAAAACACTAGGACGACTATCCTTGCCGTCGTCCTCTTCCATGTTCTTAATTACAAAGTACAGGTCTGCGAAAAACACGATGGTGGCAGGAATGAGACCTATTATGAATCGAGTGGCGATATCAAGATGCAAATGAGGATATGCGAACTGAACACCGGTGAAACCAAAAAAGAATGCACAAACGACGGTTAACATGATGTTGATGATGTTGATCAACTGTCGGTTCACAGCCTAAATAAATGAATTCAGTAGGGATAGATGGAATAAACCAAAAACGGTATATGTCGATGGACAAAACATAAACCAATTTTTCCATGTGAAAAGTTGCTATTTGACAAGACTGAAGCCCAATAATATACCAGCTCAAGGTTGCAAAACAGACTCACCCGAAGCTCTGCTCCGAAGTTCTCCATATGATCAACTTTTCCATATTTCTGACTCGCATCCACGGATTGCACAATCTTTTTGTATGCCATATTTTCCTGTTTACGTCGTAACGCTTCCGTTTTAGCACTTAAAAGATAGTTTTTTGAACGAAGCTAGATAAATTGCACTTTTTCATGACAGAATCCGTAATGGGGCTGGAGGCGGGAGTTTTGGCCACAACTAGTATTAAGGCGACGACCTATTGCAAGCGAAACCTCTACATCCTATGATTATGATTTTTAATTAACAGAAGCACTTTCAAGCACCTCCTTACTATGGAAAATATGTATTGGCCACGGCCAGCACGGATGCCGCGACGCCTTCCTAACCTATGTTCTAATGAAAAAATTTGCCAATGATGCCACGCATTCAAAAATACTCGGTGACGTCAATCAAAGGCGGGCGACAATCTCCCACGCCGCAAAGCGGTATCCCGAGCGCTGCGCAAGAACAGCGTTAGTGCGATGGCAGATAAGGTTTCAAGAACCATGCGTGTGAGACGTACGGTTGTGAAGAAATCAAACGTTCTAGCTTAACATGGATCCGTGAACTTTCAGACCCAGCACCTCATACGCTTGCTCTTAGACCCTTGCCTTAGGACATTAAAGATTACACAAATTACCGGAATTCTGCTGAAGCCTTGTAGACGACATCTTCGTGGTGGATCGTGAGATTGTTTAGAAAAAGAAACAGAGGTGCGTCTTGCGGTAATGCTTTCTGAAACCTTTTCAATTAACAATACTTTTACTCAGTTTTTGTTGTTGCTCGTTATATCTCTTCAATTTTGTCTCATACAGCGTACTAAATAAAGAATATAGAAAGAGTAAGAACCCGCTACCAGTGAAATAAAACAAACCTTAATGCAAGGATTCAGAAAATCTGACACAAATAACATAAGTATTCAAGAGCATAAATATAATACGAGAACATTCACCTTGATTGCAACAATATCCTCGAAGGATATTCTCTTCTTCGCCCCAATCCTTCGCAAGACCTTCTTGTCATCTTCGCTGGCAAAATCTTCTAGACTTTGTAAGCGCTTCCGATCCACTTCGGTCACATTCCACTCCATTGCAGATCTATAAAAAGATTATGTGATTCCAACACACCACGTAACACTGCGTCAAGACCACGGAAACGCTCATTTTCGGGACTAAGCCCACGAAGAGGGGAGGGACTCTGGTGTGCAGTACCAATTTTTATATTGTCCGAAGTTCCTGCCTTCTCCTTAGTCTTGGCTTTCTTGAAGACTGCCCCGAGCCACATTGCGCTAGTACCCCAATATACGTTGTTAGAATTGT